CTGCTTCTCCCTCTCCCACTCCCCCTGCTTGTGTTCCCTCTCTCGCTGTGTCTCTCTCTGTCAAATAAATAAATAAAATCTTTAAAAAAAAAAAGAATCTCCAAGAGGTAGGCTGAGGAGGCACTGTTTTCTCCAACAGATTTGTTGAAGGAATCTTTTCAGTGTTTTTTTTTTTTTTTCTTTGTAGTGTTTTGTGATGCCCTTTCTTAGACGGGAGCTACCCAGACCAAGTTCTCACAGTTGCCATGACAATCAAATGTGTACACTGACCTGTACACCAAACCATGCTATCCGGGGACAAGTTGTAAAACCTCAGCCACAATACCAGCCTGCCGGTGTGGAGGCCTGGCCTCTGAGCCCAGCTCTGACTCACCAGCTGTGACCTCAGGCTTCAGGGATTCTGTGTCCTTACACATCATGGTAAGGAGTGAGTATGTACCTGGGTTGATGTCCTTGTGACTCTCAAGGGTGAGAGCCTGTATGCCTGTGCTAGGTTTGTTCCACATTTCAGTGTGGACAGAGCTTTACAGAATAGGAAAAGGTGTTCTCTTTCTGCTAAGTTGTTGGTATGCAAGCCTGGAGTCTTAGGGAGTACCTGCCTGAGAATGAAGCCAACCTACAGAAAAACATCACTGACAGAGAGATGTTGATGGAGTGTGAGCACTTAGATCTGGTTGTACCTGAAGGCAACTGTGGACTTTTTAGTAAATGAGACATTAAATTCTCTTCTTTTGCCTAAGCCATGATGAAGTAGGTTTCTGTTACCTACAAATGATGTCATAACCCAGAAGTGTGGGAGCCATGGAGAGTTTAGTGGGATGGGCCAAGTGGCTGGGCAATGTCTAACCCCTTCTCCTGCTCTCATAGCTGTGTTCTTTGACTAAGAATAGGCTCCTTAGATGTACCCTGTCACCCCAACCACTTGAGGTCCAAGCAGCATGGCCAGCCTAGAAGATGCTGGAGAGGGTCTACCTTGTCAACTATGTCCTTCAGTCTGTCCACATCCTTTCTGAGAGTTTCAATGGTGTTCCTGAGTGCATAAATGTCAGTAAGCAAATCCTGCAGAGTCTTCATGGACTAAAGGGGAAGAAGAGGGGAAAATGTAAAGTTTGGTGTGGTTGGGGGAAAAGGTATATAAAATGCAGAAACTCTCTGTTGTTGGCCATGATCCAAGAAGTCCTCTTAGCTCTACCAAGGCCTGGGCTGGAACATGCTCAGAGGCCAGCAAATGACACCAAAGTCAATGCTGAGATCTCAGGTGGCCTGGGTGGGAAGGAGACAACTCTTCATTTGAATGCATTCATTAACCAGGAGTCTCATTATAAAACATGTCAGGACTTTCAGTGGGAGTAACTGGAACATCAGCAAGGCAGTTATGATCAGAGTTACATTTTTATTTATTTACTTATATATTTTTTAAAGATTTTATTTATTTATTAGAGAGAGAGAGAGCACGAGAGGAGCAAGGACCAGAAGGAGAGGGAGAAGCAGACTCCCTGCGGAGCAGAAAACCTGACATGGGGCTTGATCCTGGGACTCTGGGATCGTGACCCGAGCCAAAGGCAGACGTTTAACTGACTGAGCCACCCAGGCACCCCCAGAGTTACATTTTTATTTATTTTTATTTTTTTTTTAAAGATTTTATTTATTTATATGAGAGAGAGAGAGAATGAGAGACAGAGAGCATGAGAGGGAGGAGGGTCAGAGGGAGAAGCAGACTCCCTACTGAGCAGGGAGCCTGATGCGGGGCTCGATCCCAGAACCCTGGGATCATGACCTGAGCTGAAGGCAGATGTTTAACCGACTGAGCCACCCAGGCGCCCCCACTCACCTCTTTCAACTCCTGCTCCATCACACTTTTGTCCACCTTGTGCATTTCAAGGTTTTTAATTTGAGTATGGACAATCTAAGAACAGAAGAAAATGGCATGTTCCCCATCCCTGGATACCTTGGAAATAACGTCTTCCTCCCATGTCCACACCTGCCACGCTGCTGGAAAGGGACAATGGGGCCAGGTGGCTAGCAGGTAGGGTGGGCACGTCCAAAGGTGTGGATTCCAGATGCCCAGACCAGAAGGGAAGGAACGTGAGCCTTGGGACAAGATGTCCCCTCAGAGGTGGCATCGTAGGAACTTGGTGGCACGGGGGGAGAGGAGCAGACTTGAGGAAGGAAAATGTAAACGAGTGCTAACACTTTGGTTCCCTGGAAGTTTGAGGCAAGTTCAGCTCTTATCTGTAATGGGGTCCCGGTGAGAACTGGAGTCTATTTATCCACCAAGCACTTACATGGCGCACATGCTGTGCCCCAGTGTTGGGGGGAAACTCTCATATCCTACCCCCTCACTCCACGAAGAACCAGCTCCATCCGTTAACTCTGCCCGCTTTCCACTTTCCAGACCCTCCCTGTGACAGCAGCAGCGGCTAACCTGCTTGGGAAGAGCCTCAGAGCCTCACACCTTCTGAGCCATGTCCCCAGAGCCTTGTCCGCAGCCACATTTTCTCCAAAGCTGGAAATAGGCTTCTGCTGCTTCCTTCATGTCTGGTTTCCCTCTCACCGTTAGAAACAGAGCCCCCAAACTTTGAGCTGGCACCTGGCAGCCGGAATCATGAATTCATTTCACACCCTCCTTTATAGCTCAGTATGACCACTGGGGTGTAAATGGAAGTGGGCAGGAAGTAGGTAGGAAAAATAAGAAATATTTAATGAAGTATGTCCTCTCCACTGCCAGCTTGAAGGCAGAGTTAATGACTGGAGCGCCAGTAGCCATCTTGTTCCTTGAGGTGAGCTTGGGAATGGAAGTCATACACCATGGAGTTCTATACCAGCTCTGGACCAACCACCTCTGAGTTTCTTGACTGTGAATGGGAAATACACTTACACCTGGTTTAAGTCAGTTATTTGTGGGCGGGGGGAGAGATTAGGTTATCTGAAGTTGAACCTAATTCTAATAAATGCCAAGTTCCATTACATCCACCTTGCCTGAAGATGGGTCCCCAAGGTCTAGAATGGGAAGTGGAGGTGTGGAAGGAAGGCCCTGTTTGGGCCTCAAGTCAGGTTGCTTCCTCCAACCCCACATCAGCAGAGAGCCCTGACCTTTTGGAGTCATCAGGCCCAATATTAATACTTACATCTCCACTTGGCTCTTTCTAGTTAAAATCTAGAAATAAAGAGGAGTGATTAGGCTTAGATCTTCTAACTTCTACTGTTAGGGTCACCGGTGTACTGGGTTGATTAACATCTTCCCCAAAATCCATGCCTTCCCAGAACCTGTGAACGTGGCCTTATTTGGAAATAGGGTCTTTGCAGATGTATTAGTTAAGATGAGGTCATACTGGAATCCATCGACTGATGTCCTTATAAGGAGATGAAGACAGACACACAGAGGGAATAGGGAAACAAGAGATTGGACGGATGTGGCCACAAGCCAAGGAATGCCTGGAGCCACCAGAAATTGGAAGAGGCAAGAATCCTCCCCCAGAGCCTTCCGTCAGAGCAAGGTCCTGCCAACACTTGGATTTTGGGCTTTTAGCCTCCAGAACGTGATGGAACAGGTGCCTAGTGTTTTCGATCATTTCTTACGGTAGCCCCAGGAAGCAAATACACCCAGTCAGTTGGGAGAACCGGGATTCAAACCCAGGCCTATCTAACCCACAGCCAGGGCTCTGAACCCTAATACCAGGCTGCCTCCCGGCCGGGTGAACCTAACTGGCTTCTTTGCCTGGATCGGTTTCCTGCTCTTTCAGGGGGCACTAATCCCATGCCTCTCCCACAGCCTGGAGAGACAAGAAGTGGCATCTTCTGGCTAATTCTGGCAGAGTCAGCACTCCGTACCCACTGGCCACCTTATCCGTGTCCTCCCGCACCAAGCCCAAACTCTGAATATCACCGTTTGTTCCAGGAATGGTTTTGGAATGTAGCCTCTGGCTTATGGAAGACACTTGTCCCCTTGCAAAATGCAAATCACGTTTTCCGTAAGGTCCATAAGAAAGAGTTTGGCCCCCACTTATTTTCTGGCTGGGTTCTCGGTGGGAAACTCTCAGAGAAGCACGCCAAGGGGACGGAAACATTTCCGTCTTGACTGGATGGTGGGGGCATGGCTACACAAACAGGCGGACGTGGACTGAGCTCTTAGACTTAAGACTCGGGCATTTTGGGGCACCTGGGTGGCTCAGTTGGTTAAGCGACT